ACTTTAGCAATGGAGATTTTGGGCTCAATTGCGGTTGTAAGTGGAGGGCTATCTGTATCACTGGGCCTGGTGGCTCAGCAGACTAAAAGCATTGTGATTAACACCAGCTGTCTGCAATTACTGTAAGTTCGAATCTCACCAGGCTCAAGGTTGACTCAGCCTTCCATCCTTTCTAAGGTAGGTAAAATGAGGACCCAGTTTGTGGGGGCAATAAGTTGACTTTGTATAAATATACAAAAAGTATGAAGGCTATTGCTTAATGCATTGTAAGCCGCCCTGAGTCTCCAGAGAAGGGCAGCATATAAATCAATTTTTTTTAAAAAAAATTATCACTGGTCCTTTCTCCCTTAGTGAGACAGACAGCCACTACAGCCAATCAGTGTTTGGGAGGTGTGCCCTCTGCTGCCCCGCCACAGTGGTGAGTTTTGGAGTAGAGAGGTGTCTTTTTCAGCCCTTCTTTCTAGGGCTGTGCTGAGTTTGAAGGGAGAAAGGTGATTCAGAGCACGTACAAGCGCACGCTTATAGCACCTGTCAAAAACCACTTAAAGCGGTTGTTTCCTGGGCTCACAAAACTGTCTTTTGTAGTTTCCGCATGATCCTTGGAAAAGGTGCATAATTTAAGGTATTCTCAACACGTAGCAAGCGTACGTCTTGTTCATGCAAGTCATATTTGTCTGCTTAAATCTTTTTTTCTCCAGCATTAGGAGGAATGACTTCTCAGTTGATTAGATTTCAGCCCTGCAAAATAATTCTGTGGAATTAGTTTAACCTGTACATAACTGGATTTATTTGTGTCTTAATCAAGCCTCCTGGGATTACTTGGCCAGTTCTATTTGTCGCGGGAGTTCCCATAACATCTTAACCCTTTGTTGGGCCAGTTAAACAAGTTGTGAATGGGCCAGAGAAGATGTTGCATGAAGAACCTTTGTATGATCAAGCACGTTGGTTTTCCTTCCTGTAGATGAGCCATATCAGAAGACCAGCCATTCTGCCACATTTGTGCATTGCATTTGAATTATTTAGTTACTCCAGAAGTTAAATCAAATTATGTCTTCCGAGATGAATTTGCTTGCTGCATCTCTTCATTAGTTATGCTCCATGGTAGTCTTTCCCAACCTCAGCAACTTTAATTCCGCATGGCTGAGGAATTCTGCAAGTTGAAGTCCACAGGTTTTAAAGTTACCAAATTTGGAGACCCCTAATCTAGTAGATCAATGTGCCCTTCTGAGGATTGAGTCAAGTTGCTTAAACTGAGATATCAAACTTGGAATAAAAGCTACAGATTTTGCCGTATTGGGAATTGGTTAGTTTAGAGCACTGTTTCCTAACCTTAGCCATTTTAAGATGTATGGACCTCAACTCCCAGAATTACCCAATTAGCATTCTGGGAGTTGAAGTTCACTTATCTTAAAATAGCCGTCAGATCCGTGTATCTGCCTTTCTTCATGGAAGAAGGGGGGGATTTGAATTTGTCACCTTTAGTTATCTTTCCTATGTATCCTAAGTATCCTATTTCTTGCCTGGTCCTCTTTGTATAAACTTTAACCTGATTTTTAACTGTTGCCTGGTGCCAGAAATGCCTGAAGAATTCTCACCTCTTGGGAAATGAGAGAGGAGGGGGAGATGTGTGGATTGCAAGATGGCCCTGAGAAGCTCTTCTTATCTTCTTCTCAGAGAGGCCGATAAGATATCATCTTCACACCGGCGGATTGATGGGAATCCATATTGGACGGTGGGGAGGGGTTCCTAATTTCCTTTATTCTGGATTGCATGCCCTGAGTGACCTCAGAGCCTGCTTTGAATTTTGACTTGCTTTCGTCCCTTTTCAATAAAAGGTTCCTTTTGAAATAGAAAGTTTTCAAGAGTTTGTACTTTTTTGGAAGGGGGGAAAGGCTGGTCCTTACAATAGCTAAGGTTTAGATTTATGTTTTCTAGGCCAGCTAATTTCCAGATGTTTGTTCTTCAATAAATGGTTGTATGCTGAGGCCCAGTGGTGCCCATGCTGACCTGAGGATTTGGAAATTGAGGTCTACACATCTAGAAGAAGCCCAGGCTGAGAAACACTGGTTTAAGGGATTCTCTGAATACAACCATGGAGGTTTCTACACTATAGTTTACTTTTTAAAAATTTTTTATTTATTTTTATATTTATTTTATTTTTATCTTCTCCGGAGACTCAGGGCGGCTTACAATGCGTTAAGCAATAGCCTTCATACTTTTGTATATTTTATACAAAGTCGGCTTATTGCCCCCACAAACTGGGTCCTCATTTTACCCACCTTAGAAAGGATGGAAGGCTGAGTCGACCTTGAGCCTGGTGAGAATTGAACTCGCAGTAATTGCAGGCAGCTGGATGTTAAATGCTGCCTTAGTAGGAGGCATTAGCCTCCTACGCCACTTAGGCTCATGTTTACAGTTTGACATGATGCATGATCTCTGCTAGGGCGGTGCAGTGGTTCAGCAGTTAAGACACTGGGCTTGTTGTCTGGAAAGTCAGTAGCCCAGGTTCGAGACCCGAGCACCACACGACAGGGTGACCTCCCATTCTTGCTCCAGCTCCTGCCAACCTAGCAGTTCGAAAACACACAAGTGCAAGTAGATAAATAGATACCACTTTCGTGGGAAGGTAACAGTGCTCTGTGATGTCACGCTGGCCACATAACCGTGGAAATATCTTCAGACAGTGCTGGCTCAATGGCCTTGAAATGGAGATGAGCAGCACCCCCTAGAGCCAGCAATGATTAGTGGAGTAAAATCCGCAGGGATTCCTTTTTTATAATCTCTGCTGATTGTGCCTTATTCAACAAAGTACTCTTCTACAAATTCGCATGTACTAAATTTAGAATGTGTATTCTGCCACATCTCTGTCCCATTTCTGTGTTCATATTTTATTTATTCTATGGTACTGAATTGCTAGATTTTCAGGGTTACAATAAGCCAGGAGGAGCTGTGGAGATTTTTGGAAAAGCAACACATTTTTCATTTATTTTTGGAATGTCAGGCTGGGAAAGGAGGATTAAAAACTAGTTAATGCATCTCCCAAATTCCCTGAAAATATCACTTTGCATATTACATTTTTAGCCTGAATAATTTTAAGTGTATTGTAAAAAACATTAAAATTATCAGTGTAACTGTGGTGAATATGTGTATTACATGAACGCACTGATCATTTCTGATTTCATCCTTTTCCATGCCTATCCAATTTTTAAAAAAATGATGTTTGGTCTTAAAAGGGCCATCTTGTCATTTTTCCACCTCAGTTCGCAAATCAGTTTCCTCGTGTTCACTGCATCTTTAAATCAATTGTTAGAACAATTGGTGGGTTCTCTCTGCAATCTCCCAATTCTTGACCTTTAAAGCTCTAGTGCAATAATAAAAGGAATGTTGTTTAGCAAAACATAATCAGCAGTTGGAAAAGCAGAGAACATGAAAAAGGAGATGGATGGAGATTTTTTCAAATTAAAGGGACCACCACAGTTCCTAAGGTACATGTTAGAAACAATGCATCAGCAGCTATATATTTAACAATATAAATTAAGCTGTGAAAATGGAACACTGTTAATATTTATTTATTAGTCGCATTTCTATGCCGCCCAACTCCCTAGGGACTCTGGGTGGCTATCCCCCAGAATATCCCTTTCAATGCAGAGTATTGTTTCTTGTGACTTGAACACTGAACGCAAATGAAAGAAAATAATATTCCCTGCATTATTTTCAGCTGTTTGCTGTTTAAAGAACAGTCATGCTAAGCTATATATTTAGAGCTGAATGCAGGAGAGTGTTTTTATGTTTTCTTAGACCCTCCTGGTGTTTCAGCTTAAAATTCTTGGATATTTTCGGAACAATCCTTCTGGTTCATTTTTAAAGAATTTTGAAGGAAGTTCCCCCAGCCTTGTCAACAGGAGTTGATAAGACTTGGGTGTGTGTGTGTGTCAAATCTTGGGATTGAAAAAGTCTAAAAGAACTGGAGCTCAATCCAATTCATATTACAGCTAGTCCTCGATTTACAACAGTTCATTTATTGACTGTTCAAAGTTACAGTGGCACCGATAACATGGTTTATGATCATTTTTCACACTTATGACTTTTGCAGCATCCCTATGGACACATGATTTACATTCAGATGCATGACAACTGGCTCATATTTATGTCAGTTGCAGTGTCCTGGGGTCGTGTGATCACCTTCTGCGACGTTATGACAAGAAAAGTCAATGGGGCAACCAGATTCACTTAACAAGTGCATTACTCATTTAACAACCGTAATGATTCACTTAACAAATGTGGCAAGAAAAGTCATAAAATGGGGCAAAACTCAATAAATTTATCAGTTAGTAACATAAATTGTGGATTCAGTTATGGTCATAAGTATAGGACTATCTGTATTTTCCTAGAAATAGTCCCCACAGAACTGAGTAGCTTAATCTTAATACATTAAGAGATAGGTTATATTGAATGTTGTTTCCTTCTTATTTGAATATATGAATTAATTCACTAAAATCACAGTCCTTCTGTGGTTTTACTGGCCAGTTGATTGGCCAGTGTAAACCGTGCAGGCTAGCCCAACAGAGTAGAGAATGTATCCAGTATCTACAAAACTCTGCATTTCTTTAGCTTTGAGATCAAATTAGGGCACATAATTGGCTTCAGTCCCTTAAACTTGCTGGGCATCAAATTCAATAATTGAATTAAATTAAATTCAATAATTAGAATATAAGAGAAAAATGTTGGCATGGCTTGTCATGTGCCATATGTGTAGAATTCAAACTAGCTATTTTATTGTTTTATGCCTACGCCACAGGAATCTCCTGAGTTTACAGCTTTCACCTGGGAAGGACTAGATACGGTTCAAAGTCGTTCAGAGGGTGTCAGTCTTTGTCCTCTGGTGTTTACGTAGCAAGTCCAAGCTAATTCCCCGTTTAAGCCCTTGTCTCATCTGGGATGGTTGCTCTCAACATCACTAGAAAACCAACCTAATGGGCTGATATTGTCTTTGGTTACAGCTCTGGGTCAACCAAGAAGATGGAGTTGAAGAAGGCACGAGCGAAGTACAGAATGGACATTTGGATCCAAATGCCACTGACTGCCTCTGTCTCGGGAGAACCCTCCAGAACCGAGACCAGATGAGAGCCAATGTCATTAATGAAATCATGAGCACGGAGCGCCACTATATCAAACATCTGAAGGACATTTGTGAGGTAAGCCAGCCTCTTCCTGAATATTTTGTTTAAGATTGAAGTCTCGGGTGCAGATGGATTAGGGGATCAGGTGGATTAATTTCATCTCTCTGTCTAACCTTGAAGTTCTTTGGACCAACATAAGTCATTCTTTCACAGTCTATTTTTCCAATTTAATTGTGAGAATCAAATGAAGCAACATTTGTGTATTGTAGGCACTGGAATATGAGGATAACTAGTGTTCAGGTGCACTTTTGTTGACGTGATTACTGTTTAATTTGGAGGTAATCTAACCATAGCCCTGCCCCCTTATTCCCTTGATAATGTTTGTCATCACTGTATACTTCTGCATTTTTAATCTTCAGATGGGGAAAAAAGAAAGTGAGAAAAGAATCCTGCCAATCATGTGAGAAAATCCAGTTTCCGTGAAATCTCACTCTATAGCTTAATTTTTAAAAGAACAGATAACAGAGTTGAAGGGACTTTTGAGACCTTCTAGTTCAGGGGTCCCCAATCTGTGAGCTGTTGCCCACTAGTGGGCAACATGAGTAGCTAGCTGCTACGTGTGTATGTGCACATGCGAACAGCCCCACTCGTGTGAGCATCGCTGTGAGCGTTGCCAGTGCCCGCAGCCCCAGTTGTGTTGAGCGTTGTCACGGGCACTCATAGCCCCAATTGTGCAAGCCACAGGTGCTCGATCACATGTATGTGCACCTGCCCCTCCCACAAACCATCCCCTCTTTCCCCCCTCCCCGCCCTCCGGGCTGCCAACCTGGAAAGGTTGGGGAGTTTTGTTCTAGTCCAACCCCCTCCTCAGGCACAAGACCATATACCATTCTGGACAAATGGCTGTGCAATGTTTTCTTGAAACCTCCAGTGTTGAAGCACCCACAGCTTCTGGAGGCAAGCCATTCCATTGCCTAAGTGATCTTACTGACAGGAAATTTCTCCTTAGTTCTAGGTTGGATCTCTCTTTAACGATCTCCCCCCCCCGCCTTCTTTTCCTTCCTCAGGTGCTTTGGAGAATAAATTGACTCCCTCTTATTTTATTTATTTATTTTATTTTATTAAATTTCTATGCCGCCCTTCTCCCGAAGGACTCAGGGCGGTGAACAGCCAAAAAATAAAACACAGAAATACAAAATTTAAAATAGATTAAAACAGATTAAACAATTTGGCTAAATTTTAAAATATCCCATAATTAAACAAATTAAAATTAGTATTTAAAATTTAAATTTTAAAATTTTAAAAGGGAGAAGATTTAGGCCAGGCCAGCTTGATGAAATAAAAACGTTTTAAGCGCGCGGCGGAAGGTGCGCAGATCCGGGATCCTACGTATCTCCGGGGGGAGCTCGTTCCAAATCGTAGGTGCCCCCACAGAGAAGGCTCTCCCCCTAGGGGCCGCCAGTCGACATTGTTTGGCCGACGGCACCCGGAGGAGCCCCTCTCTATGGGAGCGTACTGGCCGGTGGGAGGCTATTGGTGGTAGCAGGCGGTCCCGTAGATAACCAGGTCCTAAGCCTGGTTGTGGCAGCCCTTCAGATATTGGAAGGCTGCTATCATGTCACCTCTAGTCCTTCTCATTTTTAGAGTGAACATACCCAGTTCCTGCAGCCATTCTTCATATGTTCAGACAGTGTAATTCACACAGTAGGGTACACTAGCGTAAAATGGGATCGTACACTTTGTGGTTGAGTGTGTTGTGAGGAGCCCAGCTATTGACTGAGCATATTGCATGAACCACACCATCTCATAAAATCATCAAAGGGTTGGTATGTCCATTGTTGCATGCTGTGTGAACACAGGAATTCGATTTTGTTAATCCAGATATAAACCTTAGCATACCTACGAACACAGTCTTTGAGTATTAAAATTATTTCCTCAGAATATCTCTGAAGGTGTTTCAGGCATCTACTTTTGAGAATTTACTTTTCAGCAACTATGCAATAACCAATATTTAAGGCTTTTACCCACCGATGAGCAACCATTGATAGTTTGATGCAGAAGTGGCTGCGTCAAAGGCTCTTGTGATGACATCAGAGGTTCTAAGGGGTTAATTTATATGACAGCTAGATTGCTGTCCAATCTCAGGAAGTTTATTGCTGTTATTTAAAACAATCAAGTCTTTTCAAACAACTAAGTGTGGAGAATAGTGTGTCTCTGTGTGTTTGTGCGTGCAAATATACAGCCATGATATTTTTAAAAACAAAAATATCGATCCCATTCTGTGCCTAGAGGTTCAAGGATGAATGAAGGTTTGAAAACACATAAAGTGTTTGTTTCAGTAGAATTATAATGGAAAAAATTAATTTCATGATATTTGAGGAAGTCTTTTTTGCTTTGGCCTTATGAAAAACATGGCAATTTGGCCCTGCCTGCCTGCCTGCTTTTTAAAATTGATGTAGCACTTCACATAAAACTAATCAATTCTGATATAGTTGTATGGATTTATGGTGGGTATTCATCACTGCCACCTGTCAAGCTGGAGTGCATTTGGTTTGGTAAATAAGCATTTCCAAATAAGCAACATGTAGAGAAATGTGGAGATAATTTTGATGAAGGAACACATGAGCCATTAAGGGAGGGAAACCAATTTAGCCTTAGTAAAGTGGAAAGTTGAGAAAGAAACTTAAAACTCCCACCTTGATTCTACTTGGTATAAGAAGGAGGGAGAAAAAAATTCTAGCAGGTTTCACAATTATGTTATTTTATATATATATTAAAAATAACATTTATGGAATCTTTGTGGTATCTATTTTCTGACCTACCTTATTTCAGAAGGCCATCCCAACCACAGATAACTTTTTGGCATAATGTGTATTTATTGGTTTGCCCTTATTTGCAGAAGTGAGGGTGTGAGGTGGAATAAGCCATCTTAACAGAATAACAGAGTTGGAAGGGACCTTGGAGGTCTTCTAGTCCAACCCCTTCAAGTAGGAGACCCTATACCCGTGATGGCGAACCTATGGCACGCGTGCCAGAAGTGGCATGCAGCTCCTTCTCTGTGAACATGAGAGCTGTCGCCCCAGCTGAGTTCTGCCATGCATGTGTGTGCGACTTCCGCTGGCCAGCTGCTCTGTGGGCCTCTGCTGCACATGCGCAGGGGCGGGGTGCACGTGTATGCACAGGCGGTGGGGTGCATGTGTAGGGCTGCGTGGGGGGTGGGGTGCACACGGGGCGCACACACATGCATGGGGGTGGGGCGCATGCAGGGATGTCGCATGTGCGGGGCACATGTGGGGGGTGTAGTACATGCATGCGCGGGGGTGGGGCACATTGCATTTTGGGGCTTTGGGCATTCGGTCCAGAAAAGATTAGCCATCCCTGCCCTATACCATTTTTGACAAGTGGCTGTCCAGTCTCTTCTTAAAAGCCTCCAGTGATGAAGCATCCACGACTTCTGAAGTCAAGCCCTTCCACTGGTTAATTCTTCTCACTGTTGGGAAATTTCTCCTTAGTTCTAGATTGGTTCTCTCTTTGCTCAGTTTCCAGCCATTGTTTCTTGTCTTGCTTTCTGGAAAATAGGCTGACCCCTTTTTCTTTGCGGTATCCCCTCAAATATTGGAATCTTGGGATCTTCTGTGCTCTCAGTAGAAAAGTGGGATAATGATGATGATGATGATAACGGCCTTTTTGATGAGCAGTAAATAGGTTTTCTTAAACAGTGCTCAAAAATGAGCAACACTCTGGCAGTGAAACAAGCACATTTCTCTGCTCTACTGCACACATTGAGGGCAGAATCAAGGGAGATCTGATTATTTGCTCATAAAGTAAGTGGCATCTGAGTCAATTCCAGCTCAATTCCAATTCCGTTTTCCATAAGTTGCTCAAGTCAGTGAATGATTCCAAGCCTGGCCTGTGGGTAGTCCTCAACTTGCAACTATTTGTTTAGTGACTTCAAACAGTTGTTAAACTAACCGTAGGCTCAAATATGGAAGTTAAGGGATTCACCTGCCCTTTAGGACCTCAGATGACTAAATGAATGGAAGTGGTGCAATATGTGGGGTCGTTAGTGCTCTCTGAGCTGGGTGGTTTCGTTCTCCAAACTAAGTAACATCAGCACCACTTGCATTGATGTTGTAACCTAGTTGGGTCATGAAACGTCTGCAAAAAAAACCCACCCAGCTCAGAGAGCACCAAGGACCCCTCATTTCAACCCTGACCTACAAATATACTGCAACAGTCATATCGTAAGTGTGAGGACTGATCATAAATCATGCCATGATTGTTGCAGCATCCCCACAGTCAGGTGATCAAAATTCAGCGCTTGGCAACTGGCTTGTATTTTACAATGTTTTCAGCATCTCAGGGTCATGTGGTTGCCCTTTGCAATCTTCCCACTACAGGGCTATCTTTCTGCCATTGTTGATTGGAAAACATATTGCATCGATAAAGCAGAATATTTGTAGCTCAGGGTTGATATGAGGGGTCCTTGGTGCTCTCTGAGTTTGTTGAATTTTTTGAAGACATTTTAGGGCTAGCACTGATGATATTACTTAATTGGGGGAATGAAATGTCTGCAAGAAAACCATCCAGCTGAGAGAGCACCAAGGAGCCCACGTATTGTATCATCTCTATCCATTTAGTCACCCCAGGTCCTAAAGGGCAGGTGAATCCCTTAAATTCCATATTTGAACCTACGGTTGGTTTAAGGTTGTGTGGCATCCATTCAGTGTTCTCCAGGAATTTCCATGTATAAATGGCACTGACAGCCTCTTAAGAAATTGTGTCCCTGCTTCTTGAGTGACGTTGCAATCTGCAGAAGGAAAACAATGTTCTTTTTCTTTGTTAAGTTTTCCACACTCCCCTCCCTTCTGCTCAACCTCAACAAACTGCAGCCTTTAGAAAACCATCCAAATGAAAGGTTGCAACTACTGTGTGCCTCCAGCTAGCTTTAATATTAACAACCCTGTTTCCAGCTTCTGAGAACCGTTAGCATGTATGCTGTTCTCCCTAACTCAGATGGAACATTCTTCCAAATTGGCTCTTTTCTACTAGACAGAAAAAAATAAACCGCACGG